AGGCTGTAATTTACAGCTCAGGTTCCAGATTTTTAACCGCAATTAATTATTTTTTACAATGTTTTCAAAGTCTATCCTCCGTGACTGTTACTCTTTCTAGGTTAACCTATATGTTTTCAAATATCTGAGGTAGTAAAATCATACTATAAAAATATCAGTTCACTAAGTAAATTAAACACATCCAAAGCAATCGAATCAAATATAAAATATTATTAAAAATTAAAAGAAATAATTTTTATAACCATTTATGTAGGTGTTACGAAAATTGATTCTATCATCCGTGAATCTGTTTTTTATGCAACGGATGGCGCTTTAATCATTTTAAATAAGCAAAAGCCTCTGTTTACGAAATTATAGATGCATGTGATTCCTGAAGGTCAATTAGAATTTATATGCAGATGAGAGTGTTGCTGTTTTATAATTCAAAAGTTTAAGTTCTTTAATTTGCTATTTAAAAACCTATCTACCGTGAAGTGTAATATCTCAGTAAGTAGTATTTTATGTATGTACAATTGTATTTTTAAAAAATATTAATGTGTCAAAAGATACAATAACTTTTTTCAAATAAACAAAGGGATTTTTAAAAAAAGCATACGAAAAACTAAGCTTCGTGAAGCTATCTTCCGTGAAGCTCTAATATTCAAAATGTATGATTTCTTAAAATTCTTGCATTAGTGCAGAACCACTTATGTTATGTTATTAATAGACCTGGTGGCTTCCCAAAAACCCCATTCTAGACTAACAGTGAAACAACCAAAAATAAAAAATAATCATTTTCACTTGGGGCACATCTTTATATATTCATATAGGTATAATATATTATTTTTTTTTCAAATGCAATAATGAAAGTTGTTTTTTTAATGCAAAATATTTTTCTGTAAAATCAACGGAAAAACTACCTACTTTACCTACAACCAAATGTATCTCAAAGTAAATCCGGGGACGCACTGTATAATGTAAACGTATAATATGGGCTCAGATACCGTGTCGAAAATAAAAGCCATGGCTGCAGCAGAGACTTTAATCATAGATTCGAATACAAACCTGTCATTACATTTCTGTTTTCTCTTTTTTTGTAAATTATTTTTTAATACGCCGTAACAATATCTTTTATGGGAAGATTAAATGCCATCTTGGTGGCAGCTATTTATTATTTATAAACGCTTAATGTTGCTTCATTTAATTAATACATTCATAAAACTATAAAAAATTAATAGCGTTTTAGCTAATTAACCTGAGTGTGTTTTAAACTAACTGTAAGGCTATAAAAATATGAATAAATAGTCGCGATAAGATATTTACGACTACATTTTAACATATTAACAAATATGTATACCTATATGTATTAACAGCAGTCAACCGGAGACCATCAAACAAATTGCCCACAAATTTCGTTTACTTATATATAAAAATATAAACAATAAAACTGTAAAATGATATCCAATCTTAAGAAGATAATATTTTATGGGTTAACCTATAAACAGCAACAAATTACTTTAATTTTAAACACTCTTTAAGAAGAATATACTCTTTAAAAATTAATGAGTTACTAGTTACTACTCTCTATATAAAAATGACTAATTTAATAGTTATTAGTGGCTGCTTTCTCACTTGTACCATGGTTAACCATGGAATATCATGTTATCCCAAAAAATAACACAAATTCTTATGAAAAATTGTCCCCTGAATCCGAAAATGTCGTCAAAAGTTAAAAAAGTAGAACAGTTTTTGAGATATAGTCAATTTTCCATTTTATATGGAATTGACTATATCTGAAAAACTGCTCCATTTTCATAATTTTTGACGGTATTTTCGGATTCAGGGGACAATTTTACAAAAGAATTGGCTGTTAAATTTTGGGATAGCATAGTATTCCATGGTTAACCATGGTCATTTTTAGAGAGTAAATTTCTATTATTGGACATATTTGTATCCCGGACATTTACCAGCCAATTCTTATGTAAAATTGTCCCCTGAATCCGAGAATACCGTCAAAAATTATAAAAGTAGAACAGTTTTTGAGATATAGTCAATTCCATATTATATGGAAAATTGACTACCTATATCTAAAAAAATGTTCTACTTTTATAACTTTTGACGAGATTTTCGGATTCAGGGGCCAATTTTACATGGAAATTGACTGCTTAATGTTTGGGATATAAATTGCTATTGACGAAAATTATTAGTGGCTGCTTTTTCGCTATAAAAATTAGTCATTTTTGACAAATTCGTTTTTAAAGAGTACAAATATACCTCTACATATAACCTATTGTTTACAGCCAAAATATACATTCGATGCCAGTTTTTTTTTTAATGTGTTTTGGCTAAACTTAAAAATCACTATACTTTTTATATCATGGTTTTTAAATTTTTTTTATTTTTATTTTTTATTCAGTATTTATTTAAAAATAGACCCATTTGCTTAATTTTCTTACTCTACCTTATACAAAGTGTTAAAAATAATGGTATTTTAAAGAGTAATTTTAATCTTATTAGAGCTATAATATTAATTAACTATAATAATATAATATATAATATAGAGCTATAATATTAATTAACTAATATTTCATTCATTCATGCTATTATGCCTCTTTTTGAATTAATATTTCTTATTAAAATTCCTTTTTTTTTCAAATTTGGCCATCCTGTATAAAGTTGTATTACAAAATTATTTTTAAATTTAAAAAATCCCCAATAACTTTTGAAGTTTTTTGAGTTCTTCTATAACTTAATCATAGTATGACACATGAACATTTTTTTCTTCAATTTTTTTTTTAATGGGGATATTTTTAAATAAATACCGAATTATCGTAAATTAAAATAAAACACCCTGTATGGTTTACCAAAAATTAAAATAGGTCCAATCCTTTAGTAAATATATAACCATAATAAAAATAATAATATTTATAACATATTAAGTAAATATATTATAACCATCTGATAAAAACATCAAATTACAACTCATTGTTATTGACATCTAACTTAAAATGGCGCAAGAACTAAAGAACACATTCCGCAGCTATGAACCTGTAATTTGATTATTAACAATTTCGCAATATTATTTTGAAATAAGCAAAGCATACGCCTAGTGCAGTAATTACGATGATCCAGACAAAGCGAATCTAGATACCATCGAAAACCGTGAGGAGGCCATCTAACATTCATTATGGAAGAAAGTGGAAGGCGTAGTTTAAATAATATCCGCAACAGAAGTTGCCGTATAATCAAGCGGTCGAATACAACGTAAAATATGGCCGAAAAATAATCGTTTTGCAATTAAAATCATATCAACAAGAGAGTTAATGAAAAACGCCATTGTTCTAGGAATTAATTCCGAAGGAATGCTGTTCATTACATCGATTTTCGCTCCTATTGCTATTAATTACCAAAGAAACAAAGGAAATGTATGTATGATCTCAAATAGCACAACTGGTTAATTTAACCTTAAATTTACGTGTACTACACTGTTCAAAATTGCATGACCATTTTAACACCAAATTAACACCATACATGGTCTATATCGATACAAACCAAAATGGTGTTAAATATGGTTCGTTGGTCCGGTGTAAATTCAAATACTAAAATAGTGTTAATTTAACTTTCACACAGTATTAAAATAAATTTTACCTGGTGTAAATTGAACTCCTTTTCAGTGTTAAATATTATGTGTTTTTGGTCAAATTAAATCATACTACACAGAAAAAAGGAAAAAAAGGAAACAGGAAGTTCCTTGACGCATTACTAGTAAATTACCAGGTGGTATTATTCCAGAAAATGGAACCTTCAATTCGCTAGAGATAATGTTTTTAGTGCGTTCCACTAACTTAAAATACTTCAAGTATTGACAGCTGTTTCCACCTATTTAAGGTCTCTTTAGTATCGAACAACTTGTAGTGTCACACCAAAGTAAAGGACTACCTGAGCTTATATACTCTTCATGTAAGTCAACAGAGGCGAGATTTAAGAACATCACGTGATCCACACCGCCTTTGCCGCGATCGGTACACACTATGCAACCGGGAATGCACGGCAAATTGTTTTAATCGTTTTAACAGAGTGCTTTAGGTTGAAGTAACTCTTATTTTACAAACAACATATTTAGTAAAGTGAACCATACAGCGGGTTGGTTTCACTAAAGTTTTCTGGGTTAATTTAACCAATTTAAAAAAACTAAAATAACTATCTGGTTTAGTACCGTCAGACTAATCTTTGTTTATATTAACCTTCCCACAGTTGATTTAAATAAATACTTATGGGTCAACTAAATTAATATAGTTAAATGAACTATTCCTTTTTTTCTGTGTAGGTGCACTTTTCAAATATTTTTAGATAAACATTTTCAACCATAATTCATGGTGTTATATTAACACCACTTGGTGTTGGATTTTGACACCATTTTAAGAATACTCTTCATGAAGAGCACACCACAGATATTTTAAACAGTGTGTGATTTTAGTTTAAATACAAGTATAGCACCAAATAAAGTAAATACAGTAAAAACTGCCGATGCGATCTGAATTTCTTGCCGCTGACATTGATACCCAAGAGATTCAGATGCCATTGTCAATAAAAAGGTAATGATAGTCGCTTGGCAGTGCTCTAAATTAATTGTAATTGTAACATAAACGTTTGAATGTTTACAAGAACTTGATCCTAAAGCGGCCTAACGACGGACTAGTAAATTTCAGTTACGTCTATATGGTTCACAGTAAATGCCACATTAAGCCATTTTCCGTGCGCCGCTAAATCTGCTCCGGCTAACTGCAGATTAAATTATATCAATTGTTGCGTAAATTGTGTGTAACATAAAGAAGATACGTCAATTATTGAAGGAGTAAATCAGATTTAGATTAAGAAATACGTGAGAAACTGTTTCTGCCGGAAGCGTTAGCTTCTTCTGGTTTTGTTTATGATGATGGATATCGAGGCTTCATATTATACCATATTTAAAACCACATAAGAGTCAATTAAAGCTATCCTACTTCAATTTATAGACTTACTTGCATTCTCCAGGGTAGTTGCAGTTTCCATGCACAGGATGACATCCTGGTTTACAGACAGCTGTGAAAAAAAATCAGTTAATATAATACATCAATTAAAAAGTTTTTTTTCTTACCAACTTCACAGGTGGATCCCTTCCACCCCTCTATACACTCCTTATCTCCGTTGCTGTCGCACGTGTAATGTCCGAACTTATCGTCACGTGGTCTGCAGAATTTCGTACATGTGGCGTTGTAATAGTGGATGTCGCATTTCACTCTCACCCTGTAGGTTATCCTTGGTCGAGCAGCAACGTTATGATTCAATGTGTGCCATTCGGGACTGGGATCTATTATCCCCGAATAGTTGGCTTCTTCTATGATACTGTCTTCTCCTGAAAGAATGACAAAAACGTTCAACACCTAATCTAATTCAATTATCGAAAATTAGCATACCAAATCACGGTGCTATTCTGAGAGGTGATTTTTGGACTTTCTGTGAAACCTAATTTTTTTTTATAACTAAAATTTTAAGAGCAAAATAAAAAAAATTTGAACGTTTGAATTGTTTTAATTGGCTGTTTATTAAAAATATTATGCACTATTTCAATTATCCAATTAAAACTAGCGATTTAATTTAAATATTTAATATTTGCATAAGTCAAAAAAAGGTTTTTACAATTTTTTTTTATATATTTTACTGTTTTGTTGCAATAATCGTTCAAACTTTTAATCTAACCTTTGACGTATACATTTATGTTCCCTTAATTAATATATCCTTAAAGGTTGCCATGAAACTTAGATCTATTAAAAATTTATTTGACGTTTGAATTGTCATGTTCAGTATACGTATTCTATAATTTTTGTTTAGTTTTTTAAAGTGTTTTTTATAAACAAAAATGAAAAATTGTAGTAAAAGTTACGAAGAAATTCATGAAATTTAGCTAAGGACCGGTTTATTCATCTTTAGTAAAGTTTATCGGGCCGATAACTTTCATGTCTTGGCAATATCTAGTATCCAAAGAAATTATTCGTCAAATAAATCAAAAATGAATAAATCGGCCCTAAAATGTGGCACCCTTAGAATTATTGTTTAATAAATGTATACTATACATTTAACCTTAAATTAAAACTTTAAACGTGCATTATAACAAAACAGTAAAGGATATAAAAAATGTATAGACCTTTTTTTAGGAAATTAACTAATCTTTAATCTGATTTAAAAAGTTATGATAATATTTAAATAAAATCGCAAGTTTTAATTGGAGAATTGAAAGTGTGCATACATATTTTTAATAAACTTCCAATTAAAACAAAATTAACCGTCAAATTTTTTTTATTTTGCTTTTAAAATTTTAGATATGACCTAATTAACAAGAATATAAAAAAAAATTAGGTTTCACAGAAAGTCCAAAAATCACCTCTCAGAACAGCACTGTGAAATGTTTTATTTATTCTAATAGGTATACTTTAAGTAATACCTATAATTTTGGGCGATAATAATCTTGTCGATTAAGAGCGCCTTAAACCATCGATTAATCTGAACGAGTAAAGAACAAATGTTGTTTGTGGTTAGTGTATGAATGAATGGTTCGGAAACACGACTATCCTAAGGGTGTACGAACGGTAGGCAGATGCAGTCCGATTATGGAACAACCCATGGGCAAGGTCGGAACCCATTTCTGGAATACAGGTTTTCTTGAACACGACTGTGTTATGTATGGCGTGTTTTTGGAATTACCAACTAGTGCAACTGTTATGTTGTTTTTGCCCCTTGGAAAGATTTTTTTGGGGACCTGATGGTTCACATTCATGCACATATATTTTTTTGTTTATAGCTTTCATATAAGTTGCGTATATCCTACATATACTATATGGTTGGTATTGACTTTGATAGACGTGTCAAAAATAGCTCTACAAATTATTGCAAAAATATTGATAAATATATAGATTTTGACCAAAAGAAAAAATACTGCCAATAAAGCAACTGCTAAAGAAGCTACACTACTGTTGGTGAGAGTATTTAACTTAATTTTGGAATATTTAGACATTGACATTTAACTATAACCTTACTTTTACTAACAGCTGTTTCTTTGACAGACTTTTACCTAAATATTTTTGAAATTATATCCTTAAATTATACATCGATTGTTCAATACCAACCATATATATTTTTAACTTCTAATTATATTTTTTGCCTCGGTCCATTACTCTGTCCTTTTTAAGGACAGATCATTTCATTTTTATTTAATTAATTTATTTTAATTATTTATTTTATATATTAATCTACATTTGCCCTTTTTATTTTTAAATATTTACATTTTTATTTTTATTTTTTTACATTTATTTTTTTTTATTTTAAAAAAATGTCTAATTTTGATTTATCACAAAATGACGATATTATATCAAACTTAATTGAGAATCCTTGTTCTATTGAAGATTTTAAATTTTCTAATGATGGATCTAACTACATTTCTGAATTTTTAAAATCAAAAAATAATTTACATATTTTAAACATTGAATCTATAATTCAAGATGGCTTAAATTTATTTGAATCTTCTACTTTTAAAAGGGATAATAAAGAAAAGGCTTTAAAAAGATTTGAATCTTTATTATTAGAATTGTCATCTGAATTTAAATTGGCTAAAGAAATTATGCTTGCATCCTCTTCTCTTAATGATAATTTGAAATTGATTAAATCTTCTGTTGAAAATATTAAATTACCAATTCCTATTTCTACTCCTTCATTTTCTGAAATTGTTAAAAATACTAAAATTAAAGTTAATAATAAGAAAACTGTTAATTCCAATATTATTCATAAAATTGAAATTTCTCCTATTGATGAAAGTAAATTTCCATCGGCTAATGAAGTTAAGAGCAGTGTTCTAAAGAATATTGACCCAGCTAAAATTGGTTTTGTACCATCAAAGATTTTCTTCTCTAAGAACAAAAATGTTATTATTGAGTCTCACAATAAAAATATTGATAAATTATTAAATAATTCTGAACTATCTAATTTAAATTTAAAAGTCTCTATTCCTACAAAAAATCGTCCTAGATTATCTATTTTTAATGTTCCCACTAACTTAAATGATAATGATTTAATTTCTACTATTTTAAATCAAAATGGCCTATCTTCTAAATACAACAATAATGATATCAAAGCTATTCATAAATTTGGAGCTAGAAATAAACCATTTGTCCATTGGGCAATCGAAGTTTCACCTATATTAAGGAAAGATTTACTCGATCTTAAATACATCGGTATTGGATGGTCTAATTGTAGACTTGAAGACCGTATCAGAGTTACTATCTGTTATAAATGTTTTAAATTTGGTCACACATCCTCAAAATGTTTATCTACTACGTCTAGATGTGCTCATTGTTCTGAAGATCATGATAAAAGGGACTGTCCCAATGCCAATAATATCGCTTTCCTAAAATGTGCTTGTTGTTCTTTGTACAAAAATATTAATTGTGACCTGAAACATATCCCAGGTTCTGATAAATGTATTGCTCATACAAGAAAAATCAAAATGCTTATTGAAAATACTGATTATGAGTAATAAACGTTTAAATAAATTACGTTTCTGCCAAATTAATTTACATCATTCCAAAAACGCATCTTTTTCTTTCTTTAACTCTCCATTTATTGCTGATTTTGATATTGTTTTAGTACAGGAACCCTATTGCGTCTTTTCAAAAATAAATAATAAATTTGTTATTCCCAACATTGGTCATTTTAGAACTATTGCATACAATAGTGAACCATTTTTATCGTGTATCGTTATCCTTAATGGCTGTCTGGATATTTTATCATTACAAAATTATAATTCGAGTTGTATTGTTGCGATCACGATTGAGTGTGGACCTTTAAAAACCCTTATTATCAGCGCCTATTTACCTCCAAATGAAGATATTACTAATAAATTAGATCTACTTACTCCTATTATTGATAATATTAATTTCCCATGTATTATTGGCACTGACTCTAATGCTAAAAATCCAATTTGGCATTCCGACACTCTTGATCTTAGAGGTGAACTTTTTGAAGGTTTTGCACTGGGTTGTGATCTGCATGTTGTAAATTCTCCTTCATCTATTAAAACTTTTAGTTCCACTCTTGGCGAAAGTAATATTGATATTACTTTGTGTTCATCATCTTTACTTAATTATATTAACGATTGGACTATTAATGAGGATGTGTGTCCTAGTGATCATAGAGTTTTATCATTTTCTCTTTCTTTAAATAATAATTTTTATCAATCTAATAAATATACTTGGTCCAGATCTTTAAAGGCTTTAGACACTGTTAAAGCTATTGAAGCTTGTATCATTGGCATTTCTAAAATTGATACATTATTGTGGTATCCTACTACCTATCATATTGATTTAAGAGCCAAACTTTTAAATAATCTTTTGGAAGATATTGGAACCAAATTTTTAATGAAACGTAAAATATTTTTAAATAAGCCTTTATGGTGGAATGATGAATTAGATAGATCCAGAATTAATTTAAACCAATCCAGAAGAGCCTATCAAAAGGCTCCTTCATATTTGAAAGATGGCCTTAAGTTAATTTATAAATCTGCTGCTAATAAATTTAAAAATATTGTTGATAAAACTCGCTCTTCTTCATGGAGCCAATTTGTTATATCTGAACTAGAATGTAACCCTTGGAGTCTTCCTTATAAACTAGCTAGAAATCGTTGTAATAATAAACATATTCCTACTAGTATTCCATATAAAGGTAAATTTTCTACTACCTTGGGTGAATCCTCTGAGGCTATTTTGGATAATTTTGTTATTTCAGATGATCACTCAAAAGACTCTTTCTATCATAAATTTTTTAGAGAATCAACTAATTTATTAACTGGAACCATTCCTGTCACTGATCCATATTGTGTGTCTGAAGATGAAGTTTTAGTTTTGTTAAACGATCTTTCTATCAAAAAAGCTCCAGGTCCAGATAATGTTTTTCCTACTGTCATAAAGACCGTTGCTCCAATTATTGTCAATCTACTTACTAGAATCTTTAATGATTGTATTAGATTTAGTCATTTTCCAGATGTTTGGAAACATGGTAAATTAATTCTTATCCCAAAATCTAATATTTCCTCTAATAATTCACTAAAAAATCTGAGACCTATTACTCTTTTACCAATTTTAGGCAAAGTTCTTGAACGAATTATTAAGAAAATTCTTTTTAATGAAATTCCTGAACAAAATTTCCATGATAAAAATCAATATGGATTTAGAGAAGGTAGATCTACTACCAATGCTATTTTAGATGTTACTAATTTTATCAAAACAAATAATTCAAAATTTTTAATAACTTGTTTTTTAGATATTAAAGGAGCATTTGATAATGTTTGGTGGCCTACCATTATTCACTCTCTTATTAATAAGGGTTTATCCTGTGACTCTGTTAATTTTATTAAAAGTTATCTTAAAAATAGAACTACTTCTTTATCTTTGAGTGATTCTAATGAATCTTTTAGATATAAAACTTTATCTAGAGGTTGCCCTCAAGGATCTGTACTGGGTCCTCTTCTTTGGAATACTGCTCTTGACTCTTTATTGAAGATCAAATTTGGTAATAATATTAAAATTTTTGCTTATGCTGATGACATTGCGGTCATTTCTTTTGCTGATAATAGAGGTGATTTAGAAAAGTTTACTAATTCTGCTCTTAATAGTATTAATAGCTGGGCTGATGATAATAAGTTATCTTTTTCGATTGATAAATGCAATTACGTTATGTTTGCTGGTAAAAGAGTAAGACGTCCTTCTATTAAACTAAATAATATTCCCTTAAGAGGTTTACAATCGGTTAAATATCTTGGTGTAATCTTAGATCAAAAACTGAATTATCAAGAACATATAAAGACAGTTTGTTTAAAAGCTAAAGGACTTTTCTCAACTTTAAGAAGACATTTATCCCGCATATGGGCTCCCCCTTGGCAAGCCCTTCAGACTATTTATTCTATGGCTGTTGTTCCTATTACTGGTTATGCTTTCGAAGTTTGGAAAAATCACATTCATTATAGAAGATCTGAAAGATATTTGAACTCTTGTAGAGCTCTATGTGCTAGAACTATTAGTGGTTGTTATAAGGATGTATCCTATGAAGCTGCCAGCGTTATAGCTAATATTATGCCAATTGATATTGAAATTTCCAAAAGACATGCCCTTTCCAATATCAAAAGATGCAAACCTGCCGAACATCTGGGAACATTTTGGACTGATAACTTTCCAAAAATTTCAATAGCTAAAGAACTATTGCAGAATTTGAGTTTAAATAAATGGCAAATTTTATGGGATTCATACCCTAATGGTAGACTTACTTACCAATTTATCCCTTCTGTAATTGAAAGACAATATATGAACATAACCCATAATAAAGCTTTATCATCAATTTTATCTGGTCATGGAAGATATAGAAGACATTTTCATAAAGTCGGAAGATTGGAGAACCCTTTTTGCCCCCATTGTCATTCCACTGATGATTCTTTACATAGAATTTCTGCTTGTCCATTATACGATGAACCTCGTCAAATTTTGATTGATTGTACCCCTTATTGGCCTATTTCACCTTCTAATCTTTTAAAATTTTTGATTGATAACAACAAAACAGACTTATTGACACCATTTTCTATTTGCGAAGATTTACCTTTTCATTAATTACTCTTTAACTATACATTTATTGTAAAACTGATTGCATTTGCCTTTCTGGAGAGTGATTTCTTTTCCTTTATACAGTAATATTATTATTACTATTTCTTTATAAATAATATAATTTTTTGAAAATACTTTTACATTCATCTATAATCTGAGATTATATTATTAATAGATGAATTTCTGATTTATTAAAATCAACTTTATTTTTAGATTATTTTATATTAAATTTTTTTGTAATATCTTGATAAAGCAAAAATGTTAATTAAATCTAATTTTATTTTTTTTTTCTTAAATTCTTACAAGGGTTGTAGGTACCTTGTAACACATATGTGTATCTTTTTGAGTAGAGTTTCTCATTTGTTTTGATAATTTATTATTATTGAATCACCATATACTGATGTCATTTTTGCTTTCTTCAATTTAATTTTTAATTCAAAATGTATACAATTCTCCTTCTATATATGTTAAATAACTAAAATTTTATAATTATGTACACTCTTAAATAAATAAAAAAAAAATTGAAAAAGAGAGTGGTTTGGCACTGGGTATGTGGGTGGGGCCTCCTCTCTCTTTTTTTTTTTTTTTTTTTTTTTTTTTTTTTTTTTTTTTTTTTTATATCCTACATAAAATAATTACTTGTAAGAGAAGAGCAAAATAATTGCACGTACAGTGAAAACTTGCAAATCACGATTTGTGGGCGGACTATGCAAACTCTAATGAACACTTTGGCAATTTTATTTTTATTTCCCATTCGAAATGTGTTTCTGATTGTGAGTGTGTATTGACTGTTCGAGTAAGTCTTCCTACACTCGCCGAGCCACTTGAAAAAGGTATTTCAGAATGGGACCAATTAACCAATTAACCTACTGGAACATGACACTTCTGCTACTTTAAACAAAACAACATGTGTTTGTTTTTTTCCTTGCGTGGGAGTTTCGAGTGCTTTTCATAACACTGTCCACGCGAGCTCTTTGAAGTGTAATTATTTCGAATTTAAGTCTTTACTAACTATATCTTAAGTTTAACAAATTACATGCAGTTTTGAATTCCTTGATCTAGATGCTGTAGAGATTGCCGTTCTCTGATTGGTGTATTGCTTTGTAAAGGGTGTCATGTAATAAGTTGTCATCATGTCATCATGTTAGATCACGCCGAAGTAAGCATTTGTTCGGCACGACACTGGATTCCTTCAAAAGATGGCCTATCTAACGTTTAAGTTAATGGAGTCGACGGACTAAGTAGAGTAGAGTAAAAAATGGCACTGATGCAATAATGATAAAAAAATTCCCTTAAAGGATGACCTTATTTGGTGACACCCTGTATAAAAATAGAATTAAGTGTTGTGCACATAAAAAGTTTTATTGTCCAATTATAATAATTTATTTAATATAAATGATTCATTATTAATGAGGTTTTTGAACCTGGCTTGAATTTCATTCATACATTCATTCATACATTATTTTTAATTGCCAAATTTATACATTAGCATTTTACAACACAAACATCTTAAATCCTCGTTTGCACATTAATGTATATTTCGTAACAAAAATACTTCCTTTACAGTCTTATGTCACTTTATGTATATTAATGTATGTGCTGTACGTAGGTTTGCATAGAAATAATTAAAATTAACATACCTGGTGATGAAAAATTGTTGTGATCCATGGCCTGGAGAATCAAGGTGAACGATCTCTGCAAATAACAAAAAAACAAATTAATAAAACTCAGCCAAACTTGCAAAATAAAAAAGGTACAGTTCGGTTAATTCAGCAGGCTATTGTTGTCAGTTACATGTCGATTTTTTCCCAATACGATATTAATAGTAACGATTTAGTGTACGTAGCCGTTACTAATGTTAAACGACATCTTAGTGCTGAAGGTGCTACCGTCTTCTTAGCCGTGATGGAATTTATTCAATTTAACGGATAAATCCGTGCCTGAGAAATGTTGATCTCTTTTTGATATTTATGCGCAGTGTTGCACCATAAAAGAAAAAAAACAATGTAAGTAAATTAATAATAACATAATATATTTTATCTAAAGTGGGGTTATTTCCGTTTAAAGTTGACGGATGTCAAAAAAAATTGCTTTTAATTCATCATTGATTAAGAAACTCAACACTTAAATGCTTATATAGTTACGTTAGTGTGTGTATTTTATCTAAGGGGTCATGGTGAATTATTGTGTTTTTAATTGTAAATAAAATTCAAGAACTAAATCGTTGCATTTTCATGTTTTGCCAAAGAATCCAATTCGGAAAGTACATTTGTTGGTGCAGAATTAAATAATAACTTTACCTAATATAATTTATATTTAAGTTTGGACATTTTTAAGAAATTAGTAAAAAATAATTTTTGCACAAACATAACCTTAAAATCAACCATTTTTATATTTGAGTTCTCTAAAAAACGCCGACAACTGCATTTTAAACAACAAAATATACCTACGAATTCATGGCAACATAATATTATATATAATACATAATATAATGGTATTTTACGGTTGAATGGAGACTTTGTTAATCAACGCTTTTAATAATGCTAAATGCTGTTTAAATTTAGACGACTTATTTGTTTGACGATTTTTACTGAATTGAAATATTTACACTTTTCACGTTAATCACTACTAAATGTATTTATTATATTTAATTTAATTTACAATTTATATTTACAGAGACTGAATGTAATTTATTTCTTCATTCAGATTAACACTGTTTATTGGATAACCGGTAAAAACTTAACCAAGGATTTCCTCTCGAAATACACCCAACAACACAACAAATCGAGCCACGGTCTTTTTTCCAATATTTTTTAACATTTTTCGGCTTTATTCTCAAAAACAAACGTTTGACAGCTGATTATTAAAATATATACTTTTGTTACGATGATAACAGTCGAGTGGTGGCGCTACTAGCGATACTTCTTTATACTATTAAATCTTTCACAAGGATTGCTTCTTCGACTAGGGTGCTGTGGAGAATGCCTTGCTCTTATTGGTTTATTGCTTTCTATAGATTATTTTCTATAGAAAGAAAAGTAGCAAATTTCTTGAAGCACCTTCCAGAATTATTCTCCTGAACCCAGAATCTAAATAGATATATATATAGTTACTGAAAGCTTCATTACCATAAATCGTATTTATCATCGATCATACCATAACTTATTTAAATGATAAATATAGTACTTATTATAATATATTCACACAGTAGCAATATTTATTTTTTAATTAACTGCATGTAATATAATATACTTGTTGAAATAAATAAATTGCTGTATAGTTAGCAGGGTGAAACAATAAAAAACGTCGGAATATTATAATAAATAGATTCTTTTGTAAAAATTACCATTCCTTTCATAGGTGTGACCCAAGGAAAATTCTTTTAATATTATAAAAAATATATATATGTAAGACACTGTGTACGAAGCCCATTATCGGTAGCTACACGAAGAAAGGTCTGCCATTCTTTTTAAGTGAATTATTACAACCAATTTTCCTACATTATAAAGTAAGAAAACCGCTACCACGTAAATTTATTATTACACTTTACTGCCCGTTGCAATTTTATTTAAGTACTTATATTATATGCAAATTGAGTTCGTTTCCATACTGTTTGCAGTACTTGATAGATCTTCTTTAAAAAGTTCAGGTATATCTGAAAGTTTTTTCGTCTTTTAATGATGGTGTAAGCTACAGTGCAGTGCTGTGATAAAACTTTTATTGGGACGTAAAACATGAAACATTTTTTCGAAATATCGACACTTAAAATAGCTTATCAAGCCACCTGTGTAATTAACACTCTATTAATGGTAATAATTTTCTTTGTAATGGAAATGAATACATAACTAGTTGGTTTATTTAAATAAAAAGCTAGAGGCTAATAATAAAATAATAGTGATATACATTAATGCTGATATTTCGCATTGCTTATGGCTAAAATTGTTACGAGCTCGATGGGTAATACCTACTGTTTTATTAGTTAATAAAATGATACGCATTATTTTTAATTGTGGCCGTTTTATTGGTATCTGGAGTATTTCATTTTCAAGGCTGCCTATAAGCAACTTTATTACCCACTTTGCAATGTTGCTTCACATGAGTTATACATCAGAAAAAACAATAACAATACCTCAAAGGTCAATTTGAGAAAATACCAAGATGATCTGGTGGACCAAATTACAGATTATCAAACGAATTTGTTTGGTGGATTTTAGAGTATTCAAACACATAGATAGGTGTGTTCCTTAGACGGTAGATGGAGCTAATAGCTTGCGTTTACTATGTCACCGCTGTTGCTGTACCTGCTGCCTATAAGTAGCAGAAAACATTTAATTTGAGACGCGTCCACACCACCTGACACTGATGAGGTTCCAAAGACCGAAACATAGTGACTGGGTTAAAATCTAGTTTTTACAAATCAAAATCAGAGTAGTAGAACACTGTAAGGATGTAAATAGCAAAACTTGCACAGTTGACTCCTATACAGGGTGTATATTTTTCCGTTACACCTTGTATATAAAGATGATCAAGGTCTTCTAGAAGCTGATAGACGTTGCAAATCTTAAAATGTAAATTACACAAAGAACGAAGCAACAATTAATTAAAATATGCTGCATGACGTTCAAAATTAAAACCCAATATGAAAAATGTTGCGTGTCTGTCGAAGTACAGATTAAAACCTGCTTAATCTCGTGTTTTAATACTGCTCTGAATTTACATGGAAGACAAATACCGGCAACAAACTCATTAATATCGGCGCAAACGCAACGAATATCCTTCTCACAAAGGCGAGCAATAACTTTATGAGCCGCCTATAAGCAATAAATAAGGCCAGCTTATTGACATTTCTTTTTAAGCCGGTGCCTCGTAAAACAATTATTTAAAGTGGCGATTAATTATTTACTACATTGTACCCTTTTTCATCTTCGGTTTTAGTTGTGTTTTTCACAGATTTCATGGGTGGAAGTAGGAGATGACTAAGAATATGCAAGTGTCTGGTCGTGGGTGAAGTCTTGCGCCATGCAACGGTGTGCCCTGCAATCCAATCCGTTGTAGTACATCTAGGAACTCATTTAAATGCTGCAAATTCGCGTGAAACAAACTATAGCCGTCAACGATCCTTATTTGTTTTAATTTGACTAACATTCGCATGTGCACACAGTCAACTTGATGCCGTGAGACCATAGCCCACGTTGACATCTTCTGAATAATAATAAACTACAAAGTAGGCACGTTTGCGTTTCAAGTATTGTTGAGGTGGCAATTAATTCATCGACGTATTGAAAACGATGGCCGGTAATTTACTATCCATGTCGATAAATGGCAGAAGAATCTGCATCTATGGTTAATGAGAGAGGATAAAGTTAATTGTGTCTACATTGTTTCGAACCATTGCTTTTCGTACTTAATGGTGTAATAAAATGTTTATTGGGTCGATCAACTCCTCATCAGACCTGAAAAAACGAGCAAAAAGAAAGCACTTTTCTAAAGGTAATGCACATCGATTATTTCTACAAGAGAAATGCTTCTTAAAATAAAAAAGAGAAGATACATGGATTACACTATTACTAACATTGAGTACGCCCATCTATATTAACTAATTTTGGGCTGCTGATTTCAAAAATGCCACTCGTTTTGCTCCAGGACGTCTAGGATTCGAAATAATTGCGTAATAAATTGTTCCGCCCAACTATCTCAAAATGTAAGTTTTGATTATTTATTAAATTTTTTGCCTTAAATCTATTTTGGATGTTCAGTATATTTTTTACGTTTTTTGTCAAAAATATACAGGGACTCGATACAAAGTCATCGGTAGATAAATTTCAAATAGAAATTTTGTTTGTTCCATTGTAGCCGTATACTATAGTAGTATTTTATAAGGGATATTTAATAAAGCACTTTTCTGCAGAGAAGTGCTTTATTAAAAACCAAAACTAAAATTATAATGTTTTTTTTTGGTAAAAAGTATCATTTTTTGAAGTATTTGTGTCGTTTTTTTAAATACTAATTAAATTGAAAAGGCAACAAAGTAAATGGGTTTCGGTATAAGCATTACTCTTCGACTATTATTTGATATGTTTTTATTCACATCATGCCTAAAGTACCCAAAAATTTAATCTCGAATCTTATTTATTAAGTCTTATCGAAATTTAATATCGAATTGAAGTATAAAGGCGCCTTTATCTACTTTATCGTTCAAGCACACTAAAGTGCATCTATTAATTATTGGCATTTAAAATTTAAACTTAAAATTGCATTTTTACTTGAAAGTGATTTTAAGAACCAAAAATAAAAAAAGAGCAGGAAATGGAAGTGGCAGAGAAAGAGAAAGGAGACGAACATTTATGTCGTCGTTGTAAATTTGTTTTGTTTTTGTTGCGGTACCTTTACGCCCAAAAAAAACCAACGCAATATTTCATTACAAAATTTTAGGAGATATACATACTACTTTAATTTTGCAGGAATATTAAATGGACCTGATATACGACGTTTAATGAAAGATCAAGCATTCAAAAATGCTCTCAAAGTTGGCAGTGTTAAAGCTGTCATTGAAAATGTTCTTGGTTCATATCGGGCCTAAAATTGGCGCCAATTCATTGAAAAAATGCTTTCCGTTTTGCAAAGAATTAGCGTTAATATGTCATTTAAAATACATTTTCTTTTTTTTTCTTCCTGATAAATTTGCCGAACTGATGA